ACAATCCCTGAAGAAAATATGAATGGAATGCACTCTCGATTCCAAACGGCTGCACTGCTTTTTCAAATTCCTTTCTGGGCCCCTTCTTTCCGTTGGCAATTATAAAACGGGCGTAGAAAATGTATGAGTTGACGCAGGACCTCTTCAGTCCTCTCCGCCTTTCTAGCAGTGAACCAAAGGGGCTCACAGGCATCTCTCTGCCCACCATTAATCTCAGAATAAATAAAATGTTCTCACAAAGAACATTCACTCCATCCCTGGAAGGGGCTGAATCCAGAAAGACTGATTGAGAAGTAGTGACGTTGCCCGATTGGTTCGTTTAAGGATTAGTGAGTGAAATTAGTATAACTGGAACAGCGGCACACAGAAACAAATGCACACATAAAAATACGGTGAATCTTGCAATCGGCGTCGCCCTGGTTCCCCCCTTACCTTTGGGTGCAGGGGGTCCAATTTCCCCAGGAATTCCCTGCAAGCCTCACTCACCTGTTGGGCAAAGGCCAAATGAGTTTTCAGGTGGGGGGGCAGCCCCTCCAGCCCCTCTCTTCAAGGCAGGCTTAAGCCAGGGCAGAGGATAAGCTCTGCTAGCTTGCAATAACTTATCCAGGCTTTTTTTCTTCTGCCAAATAAAGTTCACTATTTTTTTCGTTTAAATCCTCCAAAAATTTCCTTCCTAGCTTGACTGCCACTGCTTGAAACAAGTATAATAATTTTGGTAAAACATTTGTTTTTACGGTCACTATCCTCCCCACCAATGAATATGGTATTTTAGCCCAATTGTCTAAATCTTTTTGAATTTGGAGTATTGATTTGTCATAATTATCTTCTTTACTCGAAGAACATTTTGCCGTGAGCCAAATCCCAAGATATTTCACTTTTTTATCTGCATTCCTAATTCTCTTGAGAATTCTTCATTCTGCCTTTTCGTACAGTTTTGGTGTATTATTTTAGTCTTTTTTAAATTAATTTTGAGCCCCGCCAACCTTTCCAAAGTCTTCTATTTCTTGTATTAATATGTTACTTGTCTCTTTTGGGTCTTCTATAATAAATACCATATCATCGGTGAAGACTCGAAGTTAGTGCTCCTCTTTCTTAATAGCCAGTCCTTTAATATCCTTATTTTGCCTTATCTGAATCAACAGCACATCTGCAGATAGTATTTATAGCAACAGGCCTAATGGGCACCTCTGCTTTACTCCTTTATTTATTTTTAGACCGTCTGTGTTTTTATCTTCTTTTATGCTTTCCGCTGACTGGAGGGTTCTTTTACTACCGGTTCGGGTAAACCGGTCCAAACCGGTAGCATACCTCCACGGGAGTGGGTGCAAAGGACCAAGGGTTACTTTGAGGGACACAAGGCTCAATCTGGCCTGTGACCCCCCCCCCCGAGGCTGCAATCTCCTTGGCCCCCAAATCCCTGGGGATGGTGGGAGAGAACTGAAGGGGAGAAAGCAAGACAAAGAGAGGGAAGGGCTTCCTTCCTTTGGGACCGATGGGCTGAGGGAAGAGAGGAGACTGAAACAGGGCCCTCCCTCTCTTAGCCTTGCTCCTCCCCCTTTGGTTCTCACCCCACCCATCCTCAAAGAGGGATGTTGGGGAGCAAAGGATACAGGTCGGGCAGGGTGCAGTTGGGTTCTTCCAGGCGTGACTGTGACCCCCACCCAGGCTGCTTGGGAAGGAAGGCGATGCTCCCAAGCGTTCTCTGCAGGGAACGTCCCGTCCAGATGTGTTCTGAAGGGCAGCCACCCGGGGCCCATTCGGGACTGTCAACGGTCCGTGCCGTCCTCCTTCGAAAGCTTCCTGGACAAGGGTGGATTCATGTGGAGGAACCTCCAGAGGATAAAAGGGGCAAGGGGCGAGGCTGGGCAGCCAGAGGGGGCCAAAGGGTTGAAGCCATGAAGCTTCTGCTGGGCAGCCTTCTCTTGGCTGGGATCTCCCGGCTGGGAGCCACAGTGGTTGTTCCCATCATGCGAAACTTCAATAGCCAAAAGGTCAGAGCTGGGAATCCTGGAAGGAAATTCTTCTCCACACAACTCTAAGTGGAGGAGGACCCCAGGCAGGCAATCTGGAGTCCCTGGTGCTCTCTGGAGTGGCTGGCAGTCATTTCACGACCCAACTGGGGAACATCATCAGTACTTCAAGGGTTGGCTCTCATTACAAACGGTTTAGCCAGGTCTGGCAGGCAGGATTTGGATCAGTGCCTTCAGCGCTAACGAATTCTCCCGTTTTCCCCTTTTCCTAGATTGCCAAGGCTTGGTATCCTCTTCTCACCATTCCTACTGGAGAGGTGGTTTCTACCCATTTCTATCCATTCAGATTCCTTGCTCAGCCAAATGGAAGTCTGAAGTACAGAATTAGAATCCCTGTGTAAGTTTTGGGAGCGACCATAAGGACCAGCCTGGCTGCCTTGGCTGAGGGTTCCCATCCCCCAAAGAGGGCCAGGATTGGGTCCCTCTGAGACCCTCCCACCTTATGCGGTTCCCTTTTCTTTTCAGGCAAGGCGGATGCGCTACTAAAGATAAGGTACTGACCATACAGGACCAGCCTGGGGACTATGCAAACACCGGTGAGTGGGAAATTCCCTCCTGCCTCCATCCAGACTTCCTGACTCGGGAGTTTTCACGAGAGGATGGTGAAGTAGGGACCGTTTCCTGCCTAACTGGCCACCCCAAGTTCCCCCAGGGGAACCACTCCATTAGGCAGGTCAGGGACGGAGTTTGCCCAAGAGAAGCCCCCTTCCTCTCCCCGAGGCAGGCAAAGAAGCAGGACAAGGGCCGAGGCCTCCCAGGGTGGATGGTGGCTTCTTCTGGGAGAGGCCTGGGGGAGGGGGCTTGTGGGGCTCCTGCTCCAAAGGGGACTAAACAGCCCCTCCCTGCTTTTTGCAGAGGTTCCCTTCACCGTTCGCTTCGTGGAAACAGATTATTGGAGATACTTCATCGCTTACATCACGTGGGGCGCCGACAAGAAGGACAGCTTCCTGGTTTTTGCTGGTGAGAGATCGGGGTGTGGGGCTGATCGGGGTTCATCCTTGTCCTCGCCCTTCCTAATGTTGCTGGCAGCAAAGCAAGGCCCCTCCCTTTGCTTCTTGCCCCAAAGAGCCACCACCTCCATCACCATCCTTAGGGTGCCAGCTGGGACCTCCTTGGTGACCCCTCTCCCCCTCCCGTCCCCCAGAATCTCTGCCCCAGGGGAAGCCCCTCCCTCCTGTGCCTCTAGATCTCCCCCCCTCCTCTTCACCTATCCCAGAAGTTCAACCAGGGAATTTGGGGGGGAGCAGGAGCAGCCTCCCTCCATCCCTGAGGTCTCCGGTCAACCCCCCGCCAACCTTCTCCCTGCTTGGCTCATCTAGGCAGAAAATCCGTCTTGAGCGTTTGGGGACAACGTAAAGGAAAGGCTTTGGAGGCGAAGTTCAGGAGAGTTTCCAACTCACTGGGGATAACTGGAGAGATCTTGCCCGCCGTCCTGAAAGGTAACCCTTTGGTCCTTCACAATCACTGGGTCAGTGGAAGCTCTCCTCGGAAGACCTCGACCGAAGTTTCTTTCATTTCAAGTCATGTTTCCGTTGTAAACCCAGACCAAGGGCTCACTGGGACATCAGAGGAGGACTCCTCCTCCTCCTCCTCCTCCTCCTCCTCCTCCTCCTCCTCCTCCT